TGCGGTGTTTAAGGGGAGTCGAGTCTCCCGGGGAATCCTTACCCTGGTGGGGTCAGGAGTATGTGGATCCTGCAGCCCTGGCTGCACAGAGCCAGCCCCCCCGGCACAGAGCTACCGCGTAAGACAGGTTACCGAGTTTGAATGTTGACGAAGAGGGTTGTTATGTTAAATCTTAGCTTCCGGGACAAAGGGGCTTTCATTTCCCACCCAGCAATAACGAGCCCCCATGGTGTGTGGCCAGACCGGGCGGTTCTGCAGGCTGGACTCACGCTGATTGTCCATCTGTCTGTCTTGCAGAATAATGATTTTCTCAGGAATACGGTGCATCGCCACGAGCCGCCGGTCACCGCCCAGCCTATCCAGATCTTGGCGGAGGACGATGAGGTGGTGGTTGTGGACAAACCCTCCTCCTTGCCAGTACATCCCTGCGGCAGGTTTCGTCACAACACGGTCATCTTCATCCTGGGCAAAGAGCACGATCTGAAGGAGTTGCATACCATTCACCGGCTCGATCGCATGACCTCGGGAGTGCTCATGTTTGCCAAGACCGTAGCGGTGTCCAAGAAGATCGATGAGCAGGTTCGGGAGAGACAGGTGAGAGCTAAGGGCTGCGGTCGTTTTTGGGCATCTCTGGCATGGTAGATCCTTGAAACAGGTCCAAAGTCAGCCACATTTTTGGTGTAAATAAGCACAAGCTCCCAAAAGAGCTTTTGGTCACCTTACTGTTGTTACTGTGTTCAGCATGAGAGGCATCAGGAGAAAGAAAAAGGCTGACTAAAAATTTACTTGATTCTGGTAATGGTAGACAGAGATCCCCTTCCCTATGGGACTGTGCAAAACAGGTGAAGAGCAGTTTTACTGGTAAGCAGAAACATCTGTCATCTTAAGAATTTTTAAAATTTAAAAGCTTTAGAAGTTTTTTCCCACTTTTCCAGTCATTCTTGACCCAAACAGAACTGTGCTAGTAGCTTCCAGGGTTTGCTTCAAGGCCGTAAACTGAAGGTCACTGAGAGATGGTTCTTGAATTTAATATGAGGAAAATGCCCCAGGCTGCTGTGGTTTTTATTTCCTGGCTACTTGGTGGAAGCATGAGAGAAATCTGGCTTTAAAAAGCCAATTTTATGGGTTTTTCCCCCTTTCCTGTTCAGCTGTAGTCAAATTTGGGCAATATGGTTGGCTGCACATGTATTTCTTTTGCAGAGGAAGAGAGGAGTAGCTAGGATGAGACGTGGGTGTAATCGGGATAGAGTGTTTCCTGTTCTGTTTTCTGAGAGTTGCTCTTGTGTTTCCATAGCTGGAAAAGGAGTATGTCTGTCGTGTGGTGGGGGAGTTCCCAGAACACGAGGTGGTCTGTGAGGAGCCCATCCTGGTGGTTTCTTACAAAGTGGGAGTGTGCCGTGTGGACCCCAAAGGGAAGTTCTGCAAAACCATCTTCCAGAGACTCAGTTACAACGGCAAGACCAGCGTGGTCAAGTGTCTTCCACGTACTGGCCGCACGCACCAGATCCGGGTCCATCTGCAGTACCTGGGGCATCCTATTGTCAACGACCCCATCTATAACATGGAAGCCTGGGGCCCTGACAAGGGCAAAGGTGGCAGAATCGATAAAACAGATGAAGAACTCCTTAAAGCGCTCGTAGAGGAGCATCGTTCCAAACAGAGCCTGGATATCCTGGGTATTTCGGAGGAGGACTTGGCTTCCGGTGCTGACAATAAGGACTGTGGTAATTCAGGTGACCGCACGAAGTCTGCGCAGGCTGACCGCGTAGATGAGAACTGCCCTGCTGAGGGCACGAAGGATCCCGAGGGAAATGACATCGCAGCTTGTCCACCAAACTCTGGTAGAAAGTCTGCGCAGGCTGGCCACGTAGATGAGAACTGCCCTGCGGAGGGCATGAAGGATCCCGAGGGAAATGACATAGCAGCTTGTCCACCAAACTCTGGTAGCAACCTGGAAACGCTTGAAAAAAATAAGGAGCTGAGTTCATGTGGGAATCGGGGTGGGCAGACGGGAGAAGAGAGTTCAGAAGAGAAGGACCCTTTGTGCGTGGAGTGTAAAATCACCAGGCGGGACCCATCGCCCAAGGAGCTGGTGATGTACCTACATGCCTTGCGCTACAAGGGAGCGGAGTTTGAGTATTGCTCCAAGATGCCCGAGTGGGCAGTGGAAGACTGGGAGGAATGAGCAAGGACATCTGACACCTACGGACGCTGTTGGCCAGGAAAGCATCTCGTAAAGACCCAAGATTTACTTTTCAACGTGGTTGAGGTGAACAAACTGCCCGTGACTTGAGGTGGGGTGGGAAGGATTGCTGGGGCTGGACAGCTGTCCTGACAGGCACCGTGAAAGATGAGCGGGGAAGACTCTGCAGCACCAGATTTACGTTGTCCTGTAGGGAATTAGCACTTCAGGGCAGCAAACGTCACTCGCCAGGGGCAGCTTTGCCTTTTGCCTCAACCTGTGCTGGGTCTGCTGCCGATTATCCAGACGAACAATTAAGTCTGTACACACAAAGTCAGCAACTGTTGTTTTTTCTGCCTTGCTATGTGTTGCTCTCCTATGTTACAGTAAGAGCTGCTGGAATGTGGTTCGGTATGCTGGATGTCGTGTCATACACAGCAATTTTGACTGTATTTTACTGTCAGATTGAGTTTAAAACTCAAGTGTTGTCACTGAGAACACCGTAAGGTGTAGTCAGAGCACTGTGAGGCTGATCCGTTTTCTGCTCACTGTCAGCAAAGTCAGCTTTTCTTGGAAACTGCTCTTTCAGTATTCATTCAGATGACAAATTTCCAGGGACTGATCTCTCTATATTGGGCCTATTTTTGGATGTACTACTCCCCAGATTCTGTCTTTGAGATTTAAAAGGAGACTGATGATGTAGATTTTTGCCTTTGTGCTGCTACCTCCCCTGTGAGGTATCTCCTGCCTTCTCAAAAGCGTCTGGCTTCTCCTTGGAGAACCGGTTGATCTCTGTCCCTTACGGCTCATTGAAAACCCCTTCACACTTGAGCAGAAATCCAAAGCAGAGGTCAGTCTGCCAACGTTTCATTTTGATCTTTTTGAGCTGTACTCTGGGCAGGTTGTTTCTGATTGGTGTGGAATTGGTTTTAATATCAGTTCAGTGGGACAATCGCCTGTAAAGAAAAACAAAACTGTTTTATGAACCAGAAGACTTTAAAATACATTTTATATTAAAATGTTCCCAGGATGATAAATATCCCTATAGTTCTTATTTTCATCAGTGTTTATATGGTTGTTTCTTGGCCTCTGGGAGGGTTATTACAATAATTCTGCTGTCTCAGGTTGGTTTTTTTATCCTTTTTTTAATTTCCGTTTTCTGTACGTGTCACCTGCGGGCATGACCAGCCCCAGTGACTGCTGCAGGCAGTCACAACCTCGACCTGGGAAGAGCCTTGCTGTTTCAGGGCTGTTGGCAGGCCGTGGTTCCTAGCCCTGTTGCTGTATATCCACCCCTCTCCATACCCATCCCTACACAGGGTTCTACACTTCTAGAATACTAAAGAAGATGTTTTTAAAGCTGAAGAAAGAAATCTGGGGGACCTGATGCTATTCAGCAAGTGTGGCAACAGCCTGGCTGGAGTGTGGTCCGGTCTCGGATGATGTCCCCTTGTGCTGTGCTCTAGGGAGCTGTAGCTGTTCCTCAGCCCCCCAGGGCATGCAGAGCTTTTATTACCAGTGCGCCCATTCCACACAGGTTACTGGAGAACTGCTTCATGGCTGTCTGTGAGTGAGATCTGGGGATGCGAGGTTGGCCAGGCCCGCAGGAGCTACCGTCCTCCTTGGCACGGCTCCGAGAATCGCTTGCTGCTGATGTTACAGGATCAGGATGTGTCTACCAAACCAGAATAAACACGTGCTTACTTCTTATGATGGCTCAAAGTAGCGAAGTGGTTTCTTTTTCCTGGGTCATCCAGCTGATGCGTTGAATGTTTCCACTCGGGCTTGAGCTTTGCTCTTCCACATCCTGCCAAGGGTCTGTCACAGTGCTGATTTAACCACGGGTGTGTTACTTCTCCCTGCCATCGTGTATTAAGGCCAGGTCTAGTACTTAGCTGCAGGCAGCTTGTTAAACAAAGGGGATCAAAGGTCCCCTGTGTCTGAGAGATGATGATGCTGAAGCTAGTGTCATCCAGGTTTTTCATGCACTGAAATACTTGCTCTGTGTAACTGTGAGTGAAACTTGGGCACCTCTGGTGTATAAATAGGGGTGTGCCGCTGTTGCTGGCTTTGGATGCAGGGGGAAGGTGGTAGGTTTAGGGAAAACGGTTCTAAATTACACTTTGTGTCCCAAGTTACATTGTCTAATTTCCTTCCACTCTAAGAAAAAAAGGTCTGAAAGGATTTTTACTGATTTGTGCCAGTAGATGGAGGCTGAAGGGCCTGATGTGCAGCTGGAGCCCGGTGCAGTTTTCCCTTCTGGCTGTGTGTCATGACTGAGGTTGGCAGCTTTTAATTATCACGCCTTGCCGGTCACGAAACCCCGGGGCTTCTGTTTCCTAGGTACTTTGAACAATGCGAGTTTGAGGTTGATTTCACAAGGAGCCGACCGCCAACTGCGTTTTATTTCAGCGCGGAGCTGGTGTCCAGCTGAGACGTGAGAAGTCAGCGCTTGCTGTTCTGCTGACGGGGAAAGTGCTATCGCTGGGGAGGTCTCGTGATAAACTCCCGTCTGAGGTTGCGGGGTGATTGTGGACATAAAGTTGATCTGTATAAATGTAGGTCCCGGAAGAAGTCCTTTCTCTAGCGTAGTTTTATTTTGATGCATCTTTTTGTGCTACAGCAAGGGAGAGGGAGAATATGCATCTCCATATTCCAGCAGGTCCAGGGATGTGATTCTCCCCCTGTACTCGGCACTGGTGAGGCCGCACCTCGAGTGCTGTGTTCAGTTTTGGGCCCCTCACGACAAGAAAGACATTGAGGTCCTGGAGCGTGTCCAGAGAAGGGCCAGAAAACTGGTGAAGGGTCTGGAGAATATGTCTTATGAGGAGCGACTGAGGGAACTGGGCTTGTTTAGCCTGGAGAAGAGGAGGCTGAGAGGAGACCTGATCACTGCCTACAACTCCCTGAATGAGGTTGTGGAGAAGTGGGTGTTGGTCTCTTCTCCCTAATGACAGATGATCGGACAAGGGGGAATGGTCTCAACCAGTGCCAGGGGACGTTCAGATTGGATGCAAGGAAGAAGTTCTTCACCGAAAGGGTTATCACACACTGGAACAGGCTGCCCAGGGAGGTGGTGGAGTCACCATCCCTGGATGTGTTTAAGAGACGAGTGGATGAGGTGCTGAGAGATATGGTTTAGTGGCAGACAGATACGGTTGGACTGGATGATCTCTAAGGTCTTTTCCAACCCAGTGATTCTATGATTCTATTCTACGATCTTGCCAGCAGCACTTACCTATGCAAATAAACCCTCCTGGCAAGCCCTGGTGGGAACTTTGCTGTGCCGTACCCACTCATCCACTCGGAATTAACCCTAAAGCATCACCAACGTGCCCATTTTCCACACAATCGTGCTTTTCCCGCCGTGTGTTAACTACCCCATTAAGGGTGCCACCGGGGAGGCTGCAGGGCCGTGCGCTGGCCTTTCTCCGCACGGGATTTAGTGTCATTTCCACAAGGATTTAGGGGTGTGCCGGGAGGGCTCGCGGAGCTGTTCCACGCGTGGGAGGCCCCTTCCCCTGCTGCGATGATGTTCAACCCGTGGGGCCTGGCGGGCTCGTGGGAGCTCCCTGGTCAGTAACTTCGACTTCCCACCTTTTTGGAAGTTAAACGTTGATGGATTAGGCAGAGGGGGAAAGCTTTCCTGCCTCGCTTCAATCGTTTATGCTTTTAAAATGGTTGTAACTTGGTGAAAAGCGAGGCCGAGTGCTGGCATTGTTTTCCCAACGTGAGGTGATTCCGTGAGGCGTTGGGATTGGTCTGCCCGCGGCTCCCTCAGCCCCACATGGTGCCAGTTTTGACCCAAAGCCCCCGCTGAGGACAGGCCAGCCGAACCCGACGCTTT